AGGAAGGCCTCCCTGGAGGGTCAGCCTGGACTAGATAGCAGTAAAGACGCCAGTCAGGAAGTATGTTGGAAGCCAATGGGAAGTGGTTAGTTTCCCAGACTTCCTGAAGGCTCTGTCCTAGCGAGCTTCCCCTGTGGGCTGGCCCAAGAGGAGGAGTGACAGGGCTTCTCCATATGGAAGCAGCCCACACGCACTTAAAATGAAAGTCAGCGATGTCTCGATTTATCAAGATTCGTAAGTAAAGGGACTGAAAAATTGTTCTCTTCTCAGCCTATCCCACTTCATGTTTCCATCTGCTTAGGCCCTTACTGTACCACGTTGCTATGGTACTGCTGTGGAATTAGGCCAACAGCAATGTTGGTTTGTTTTTTGTTATTTTGTTTTTTTGAGGAAGGTTGTCCAATGGTGACATGATTTCCAAGAGGGAGTGGGGCTGAGCCTGCCAGTGCCATCATGGGAAGTTGAGTGTGGGGTGCCAGTCTAAGAAGGGGAATGAATCAGGATAAAAGGGAAGTCAGAAGAGACAGAGCTGTGATTGCAGAGTGCCACGGTGGGATGCTGCCCCACTCTAAGGGGGGGTCTGATGCACTTGCAGATCGCATCAGAGTGACCAGATGATGTTTCTCGTCATGGGTGGTGGTAGGGAAATGGCCTCTGGAAGACTCATAATGACGCGTGAGGGAAATGCCTGGAGAGGCAGCAGAGCATCCACGGACATCCATAGCTGGTTCCACTTGCTGCCATGTGATTGGGAGGAGTCTTTTTTGACTGGCTTCATAGTCAGAATTGTCAGCATCTTCAAAAAGCCTTCATTGTCTTCAGCTGAGCTCTGGTGGTACCCTGAATGAGGGACCCAAAAGAGGAAGGGCTTGAATCCGTCCTCCCTCTTTGAGGTCATTGTCCCCTTGGAGGTCCTGAGAAATGGGGCCTACTTGGCCTTTTCATTCATTCTTCCCATTCTAGTTTCAACGAATGGAGTCCTCACCCGAAGTGAGCCACAGGAATCTGGGAGTTGGAATCCAAGTTCAATGTAGCAGCTAATCCAGCTTTGATGCCTTGAGGAACAAGGAGTAACCTTTGGGGGGAACTTTCTGGAGCCCCTTCCTGCAGAGGGAATCATCTGACAGTCAAGCTGAATCTGGACATGAGCTTGGTAGAACCTGTTATACCATATAGGAAATAAGCCAAATTTTGAGTCTCCTCCCTTGGAGAATGAATGGGCAAGTATGCCCCAGAGACATTGGGGGGAAATGCTATACATTTGTTCTTGTTATATCTTCACTCATGGCAAAGAGATTGTTAAAGATTGGTCATTTGTTACTGTTTCTGTTACTGGATTTCAAATCTGTTATGCAAGATGGACAAGGCATGACTGACAGCAGTTCCTGTGGAAAAAAATCTAAGGGTTTTAGAGACTTGAAAATTCACTATGAATCAACAGTGTGTTATGGCAGCCCCAAAATGTAATGCTTTCCTAGGCTAAAAGAAAAGGGGCCAGAATGGGGGTGGGAGTGGGGAGGGAAAGTGGCATAGTCCTGCTCTCCTCTGCTTTGGTTGGACCAATCTGAAGTACTGCATTCAATGCTAAGGACCACATTTTAGGAAGGACATTCATAAGCTAACAAGTGCCAGGGGGGAGACCGGAAACCATGTCACAGATCAGTTAAAGAAAATGGGATGAATCAGTAGAGTTTGTGACCCAAAAAGGGATAGGGAGGATCACAGAAGACAAAACGGACCCTTTGATTACCTAAATTAAAAAATTTTTGCGCACACACACACACACACACACACACACACATACACACACACACACACACACACACACACACAAAACCAATGCAGTTAAAATTGCAAGGGAAGCCAGTTAATTGTGGGGGAGGGGAAATCTTTACAGTGTTTCTCTGATAAAAGTGTCACATCTAAGATATATAAGGAACTGATTCAAATATATAAGAATAAGAGCTATCCCCCCAATAGATAAATGGTCAAAGGATAGGAACAGGCAATTCTCAAAGGAAGAAATCCAAGCTTTCAACAGCCATGTGAATAAATGCTAAAATCACTAATAATTAGAGGAAAAAGCAAAATAAAACCTCACATCCATCATATTGGCAAGGAGGACAAAAAAGAAATGTGACAATTGTTGAAAGGGCTACAGGAAAACAGATGTACTAATGCATTATTGGTGAAGCTGTGAACTGATCCAGTCATTTTGGAAAGCAGCTTATAGTTTTGTCCTAGCAAATAACACTATTAGGTTTATATGTCAAAGAGATCAAAGAAAGAAAGACAGGATGCAAGTGTTAAAAAAAAATAATTGGAGCAGATATTTTTATAGTGGCAAAGAACTCAAAACTAAGGGGGTGCTCAACAACTGGGGAATGACTGAACAAATTATAGTACATGAATATAATGAAATATTACTGTGCCTCAAGAAGTGACCGAAAGGATAATTTCAGAGAAGCCTGGGAAGACTTGTATGAACCTATGCAGAGTGAAGTGAGCAGAACCACACAACTTTGAAAGACGTAAGAACTTTGATCAATGCAATGAGCAGCCATCATTCCAGAAGGCCCCTGATGAAGCATGCTACTTCTTCACAGAGAGGTGATAGACTCAAGGTACAGAATGAAACACATTTTTTGCAATGACCAATGCGAAGATATATATATATATATATATATATATATATATATATATATATATATATACACACACACACACACACACACACACACACACACACACACACACACACATATTTAAAGGGTAGGAAAGACTTGGAAGAGGAAGGGATCAATAACTGTCTTAAGTATTTGAAAGCCTGTCATGAGGAAGAGGATTCAGATCCTTCTACCTGTCCTCAAAGAATAAAACTAGGAGCATTGGGCAGAAGGGGCAGAGAGGCAGAAGACGTCAGCTCAGGATCAGAAAAATCCTCAATGAGGAGATTTCTATTAAGACTATACAAAAGTAGAATGAGAATGCAAAAATTAGGTGACGACGTCGTGAAGAAGCCATAGAGGAGATTCTCAGACACAGGTTGGCTTAAAGGCCTCACAGTTCTCTTCCAAATCAGATTCTTTGATTCTGCTTCCAAGCCAGCCTCCCAACAATGTCCAGCGTATAGTATACCCCAGAGTGGGAGAAGATACCAGTCAGTAATTCCCCCAAGCCAAGAGAATGAGAAAATCCCCCAGGAACTTCATGTCATGGGACAGTCTCTGACTCAAGGGTTACAATAGTATATTTTGAAATCTGGCAAGGTGAATCTCCAAAAATCTTAACGATGACAATGAAGAAATAGCTCTAGGAGCTATCTCCAGCCTCAATGGATTTCATGACTCTTGGATCGTGACTAGTGGGCCAAGCAAATTAGCTAATGGTCCCTTCCAATCCTTAGTTTCTGTGACTCTGCTCGTGATTGGTAGGCATCCAAAATGTACCAATGCCCTGGGGGCTGATCTAAGATGCTCAAAGCAAGGACTTAACGTGAGAGAGAAAGCAACCCCTACTCCACTTCTTTTCTCTTCATATCAGTAGATTCCTTCTCCCCAAGTATCACCATGTCTGTCTAACATACTGATTATGAGTACCAGGCTCAAGATGGGAGCAACAATGTCGAGGCACACTGAAGAGCTGTCCAAGTGTGTAAAAATGACCCAGAAATAAGAATAATCATTTATGTACTAACACTTGGTACTCTACTTTCTATTCTTCAAAGTATTTTTGTTGATATTATCAGTTCTTTTGAAATGAGGGGTTTTTACTAAATTAAGTCTAGATTCCAATTGAATTTTTTTTTTTTGCATGTTTCAAAAAGTAGGCATCTTGAGGAAGGGGGTGAGGAAGCAAAGCATTTAGCAACCCTTCCTCTATCCCCAGTTATTTTTGGTTTGTTTTGGGTCAAACCTGTGATTTCACTGATGTAGGGAAGCTCAGAAAGGCACCTGCTCTGTAACAGAATATTAAAGAGTTGCCTGGGACACTTTAAAAATGAAGTAACTTACCCAGGGTAACATAGCCAGCAATAGGAGTCATATAGGCAGGACTTGAATCAGGAGCTTCCTGACTCTGAGGTCTACTGTGAATCCCCTATACCTCTGCTTACCCCTAGTTACTTGGGCTCCTTGGAGAAAGCTTTTTCCTCACATCGTAGTATCTCTAAATATCACCATTTTCACACAGGGAAAAAAATCTTCATCATTAATAAATAATCATTGGAATCCTGGGACTATCATCCCATTCTTTGATAGTATATAAGATTATAGTTTTTGGAGCTGGAAGGGAGCTTTTCAGATAAGAAAACAAAGACGTAGAAACATTTGTAGCCACCTTAAGATTCACCAGCATTGCTCATCTTTTGCTTCTTTAACACAATGCCTCAAACATAGACAAATGATACATCTTTGATGAATAAATGGATGGATGCATGCATGCATGCATGCATGGATGGAGAGGTGTCTATAGGAAAATATCTATGCTTTGTAGAAAAGAAATAGATCATACATCCAAGGGTGTTGTTGACCAATGAGGTATTAGAAGCCTTTAAATTCAAGTTTGGCAGGAAAGACTAGAAGTGCTGCAGTCAGCCCAGTTGACAGATGGTTCACATATGAGGCCATAGACAGTAACAGGTGGTAGAGTTGCTGATGAGCTTGAAGGGATGGCAGGTGGGGGCAAGCAGGAAGGAGGAGAGTGAAGAGGAGAAAATCCTGACCTCTTCTCTCAGCATGCTGGGAACCCACACATATTGCCTTGTGCTGCCTTGTTGAAAATACAAGCCTTTTCCCAGTTTTTTTTTTTTAAATTAGGAGCCACCCAGCACAGGTGCCTGGGTTTCCAGCCTGAATCTGAACTGTTCTTGAAAAGATTGTGTTCTAGAGGAAAGCTGGGACCAGCACAGGGCAGCAGCAAGGGGACAGGGCATAATGGTGTCTGTAAAATGTCTTTGTCATAAATATGCTCCCTGTAACAAACTCCGGTTTAATCTCTAGATGCTGAGGCAAGAAGGCCCACCTACACTCAGCATGAGAAGAGAGTTAAATTCTTTCTCAATTCTTCTTGGGGCCTTTCTCACAAGAAGATAAATACATGGTAAGAAACTGCATGGTCTTTTCCTGTCTGCCTTGAAAAACATAATAAGGTAGAGAAAAAGATTATATTTAATTTAATGATACATGGGAAGAAATTGCATGGTCTTTTCCTGTCTGCCTTGAAAAACATAATAAGGTGGAGAAAAAGATCGTATTTAATTTAATAAAGAACCACGTTTGTCATGGAAAATGTTCAGGAAAACATCTGAGTCAAGTCATGCAAATGGAAAGATGCAGCCAAGATCAGTGACTAAGTCATGACTCTGCCTCAATGCATCCAGGTTTTCCCATTGTCCGTATTTCACTCACCGCCCCTCCCTCTACCACAAGATCTAGGAGAGGACCAGTGGTCCTGAAAAATCAGGGATGTTCCTGACTCTGAAAAGTCTGTTTGCCGCCCCCAAATTCGCTACCTTAGTCATGATGTAGGTGTGTGCGTTGGAGGAGATCACAGTCAGTTTTAAGGAGTGAAAGAAGCTGTGTGATTTGGCATTTTCCTCCTTTCAATCTGGACTTAGAAGTAATCTCATAGCCTATGATGCAAAATATCATCTTTAGCAGGAGTTAGGTTGTATTTGTGCATTAGAGACAAAGAGAGATGAAAGGAAAGAAAAGAGAAAGAGGAAAGAGAATGAGAGGGGAGAGAGAGAAAAAAAGGGAATTAGAAAAGAAAGAGAATGAGAGAGAAGAGAGAAAAGTGAAAAGGAGAGAATGAGAGAGAGGAGAGAAAGAGAGAGTAGGGGCAGGGAGGAGGGAAAAGAGAGCAGAGACAGAGACAGAGACAGAGAGAATGAACTTATAGGGTGAATGAGTGAACTAGGTCTTGACCCTTTGGATCACATTTGTCTTGTGATCTTTCCTCACTCTTTGCCTGAATCTCTCCTTGTGAATGACCACACTCTTCCTTGTATCTCACTCGTTTGCGTACATGTCTTTCTCTCCTATTTAATGGTAAGTTCCTAGAGGGCAGGAACTGGCTCATGTTTTTGCCTCCCAAGTGGCAAGTGAAGTGCCTCAGCTAGTAAGTGCTTAATAAATGACTGGTGAGTGAATGAATGTAGCTACCCCATTGAATCAGCACGACTGTAATTGCACTACTTGGATAGAAATCATTCTACCAATGAGCATTTACTGAGCTCTTAAAGTATACTGCAAACCATACTTAAGCTCTGTGGGAGTTACAGAGGTAACATGGTTCCTGCCCTCAAGTTGGGGCCCTACTATAAAGTCCACGAGTGCTTATGATAGGGTTTTTAAAATTGATTGTCCATAAGTATTTACCATTCATCATTATTTTAGCTCTAGCATTCTGTGATTCTGCCATTTAAACTAATGGTAACAGCCGTAGTAGCACAGACTAACCATGCCATTTCTGCGTGCTTAACAATAGTAAATTTGATGTTTCAAGTCACTGACAACAGCAGAATTGCGCTCTGGTTTGCTATTATTTAATTAATTACTCCTTTAAAATTAGCCTAATTGTATTTTTTTTATGCTATAACTCAGGGGCAGCTAGGTGGTGCAGTGGCTAGAATACCAGCGTGGAGTCAGGAGGACCTGAATTCAAATCCAGCTTTAGACACTTACTAGCTTTGTGACCCTGGGCAAGTCAACCTATATTGCCTCAAAAAATAAATGCTATAACCTTATTTTTTTTTCGTAGAACCGCGATTTCATCAGTATAGAAAGCTGCTAATGACTGATATAAATCAGCATCTTCCCTGTAACCTAAACATCTCATCTTACAGATGAAGAAAGTGGACAGGGCTGGAAAGATGCAAGGTAAGGGGTGATGGAACTGCAATGTTGGTAGGCTGGGTGAGGCTGGAGGTGGAGGCATCAAGGCATCCCAGGGGTTTATCATTCTCGGGGGTCCAGAATTGTTGGCCTGGCTGTTGTCATGGTTACTGTTGTTGGTGTCGTGGTTACTGTTGTTGGTGTTGGTCCTTTGTTCTTGAAGAGGACCAATGACATCACAAGGGTAACACCTTGACTTGACCGTGAATTGGAGGGCAGAGCTGAGCCAAGACATCTGGGGAGTTGACAATTCTCAGGAGTCAGGAAGAAGTGAAAAATACCTTTTCCTCTGAGACAGTCAGGGGGAGGAGGAGAGCGTGGGCAATGAGGAGGAGAAGTTTTGTGGGGTAGAGGAGAGTTGACGAGGGTCACATGGGATGGTTAAGTCTTCTTGGTGAAGTAGGAGGCTGCCATCTGTAAGTGTGCTGAGTGGGGGGTAGTCGGGAACTGCAGGGAGGGAAAGGGTTAAAACAGTCACCATAGGAAACAAGCAAGAAGGGAACCAGTAAGGAGTCTAGGAGGATGGTCAGGCAGCAGAGAGAGCTGCCCAGCTGAGGCGAGGTGCCATCAATCTAGAGTGTGTTCAGTCATTTCAGTTGTGTCCAACTCTTCACGACCTCATCTGGGGTCTTTTTGGCAAGGATACCACAGTGGTTGGCCATTTTCTTCTCCAGCTCATTTTATAGATGAGGAAACTGAGGCAAACAGGGTTAAGTGACTTGCCCAGGGTCACACAGCAAGTAAGTATCTTCCTAACTCCAGGCCTCTCTCTCAGTCTATTGCACCACTTAGTTGCCAAGAGCATCTAGAACTCTATTGAGAGTAGCTCAAGTTAAAAAGGAAAATGTGGGAAGGTTCAAAGGGAAAGGGAATGCACCAGAATTAATTGATCCCAAGACAAAAGTAGTTTGTCCTCTTTCATCTTGTACACTTTTGATGGAAGGTAGCCAGGCATGGGCCCAAAGATGCACGTGGGAAGTCATTGCAATTGTCCAGGCAGTGGGAGCCCTGGGAATCCATATCTGTTTTAGGCAGAGTTGGGGTAGGGAGGCTGAGGCTAAGACAGGATGTTTTCCTCATTCCATAAGAATTCTAAGTGTACCAAGAAACTTTAGTTTTTGCTTTGATACCTCAGTGGAGCCATGATTTCATCCATGTGTGTCGTTGGCCCTCTACCCACCCACACCTTCTCAACTAGTACAATTCTTATCCATAAACTCTTCATAGAGGACATCTAGGTCTTAACCTTTTATCTATACCAATACAGCATTCAAATCACCCATCTGTTATCTCAAGAGATGCAGATTTACATCCTCTGTTGTCCTTTTCTGAGAAGTATATTGGGGGACCCAAGGTGCAGAATGAGATAACATAATTTTTGGACATGGCCAATGTGAGAATCTGTTTTGCTTATAAATGTTATGAGGGTTCCATTTTTTGTTTTTATTTTTTTCAATAGTTGAGAGAGGAATGGGAAGGATAGAGCATCAATTATATAATATAAAATATAAAAAATTAAATGTAAATGTAAAAATATTTTAATATAAAAATAATAAATATAAATAATAAAAATAAAATTCCATTTAAAAAAGGGAAAGTATAGGGTAGGAAACAAAGTGTATTGGGGATGGAAATGGTGTTCTTTGGTGAGTCAGGTGGTATTAATGGGACATCATCAGACATAGCTTATGTTGGATGGTCAACCTGCTGGCTGCTGGAGGTAGTCCCTCCTGCCCTCCAACAAAGACCAGACCAACTTCCAGTCTGGCAGTTGTAGAAGTTGGGCCCTGCCAAAGTCAAGTAACTAAACCATGGAAGCCAACAAGACTGCTCAATCCCCTGGAAGTCAGGCCTCTGAGCTCCCATTGAACTGAATCTATTCCCTCCAGAGTTACAGGTGATCTCTTAATTGCCAAGTCTAATAAACAGCCTTTTCCTAATCATCATCCTTCTTCACCTATCTTTAGCCTTCAACAATATCAATAATCTCCTCTCTAGGTTTTCAAGACACTGATCTCTCCTAGTTAGGTTATCTCACCACACCTTCTCAGATTCTTTTGCTGACTCCTCTTTCAAGTCTTGCCCACTAACAAGTCAGTGGTCTCCTCCTCCCCCAGGTCACTGGGTGTGTGCCGCTGCACTCTGTCCTGGGCCTCTTTGCTTCTCCCTGTCTAGCTTGGTAATCAGCTTCTCTCTCATGCTCATCCCATATATTCAGTCAGTTGACAACAGTCAAATTTTGTCTCTTGCTACCTTCATAATATTATCAAATCACATAATATTTGTAACATGGGGGGTAACCCATAGTAGGCTCTTAATGAATGCTTGATCTCTCCCTTCCCTCCTCCTCTCTGCTCACACAGCTACCACCCTGGTAAAGGCCATCATCACCTCTCAATTGGACAATTGAAGTAGATTTCTGACTGGTCTTTTTCCTTCATCTTTCTCCCCTCTCCAATTCATCCTCCACTCAGCTGGCAAAGAGATATTCCTAAAGGCATGTCTGACCATGTCATCCCCTGATGTAAAAAACTCCAGTGGGTCCCTATCACCTTCAAGGTCAAATATAAAGTCCTTTGATTGGCTTTAAAAGCCCTTCACAACTTGACTCCATCCTACCTTTCCAGTCTTCTTCTTCCACCTTACATTCCATCCCCACCTCTCCCTCTCCCTCTCCCTCTCTCTCTCCCTTTCCCTATCTCCCTCTCTATCTCTCTCTCTCCATCTCTTTCTCTCCCTCTTCCTCTGTCTCTGTCTCTCTCTCTCTCTCTGTCTCTCTCCCTCTCCCTCTCTCCTTCTCTCTCTCTCTCTCTCTCTGTCTCTCTCTCTGTCTCTCCCTCTCCCTCTCTCCTTCTCTCTCTCCCTCTCTCCTTCTCTCTCCCTCTCCCTCTCTCTCTCCCTCTCTCTGTCTGTCTGTCTCTGTCTGTCTGTCTGTCTCTCTCTCTCTCTCTCTCTCTCTCTCTCTCTCCTCTCTCCCTCTCTCTCTCTCTCTCTCTCTCTCTCTCTCTCTCCCTCTCTCTCCGTCTCTCTGTCTCTCTCTCTCCATCTCTTTCTCTCCCTCTTCCTCTGTCTCTGTCTCTCTCTCTCTCCCTCTCTCTCTGTCTCTGTCTGTCTCTGCCCCCCCGTCACTCTCCCTCTCTCCCTCTCTGTCTGTCTCTCTCTGTCTCTGTCTCTGTCTCTCTCCCTCTCCTTCTCTCTCTCTCTCTCTCTCTCTCTCTCTCTCTCTCTCTCTCTCTCTCTCTCTCTCTCCCTCTCCCTCTGTCTCTGTCTGTCTCTCTCTCTCTCCCCCTCTCCCTCTGTCTCTGTCTCTCTCTCTGTCTCTGTCTCTCTGTCTCTCTGTCTCTCTCTCTCTCATCTAGTGACACTGGTCTTCTCATCTCCAGGCTTCCTTCAAGTCCCAGCTAAAATCCCACCTTCTACAAGAAGCCTTTCCTGACTCCTCTTAATTCTAGTGCCTTCCTTGGTTAACTCTTTCCTACCTAGCCTGTAAAGAGCTTGTTTTCACTTAGCTGTCTGCTCACTGTGTGCCTGGGAGCTCCTGGGGGGGGGGTCTTTTGTCTTTCCTTGTATCCCCAGCCCTTAGCACTGTGCCTGGCAGATAATGAACCCTTGACGAATGCTTGTTGACTGTCTGACTCCTGGGCGGAACCGTTAACTACCAGTTTACTTGGGTCAAGCCACAAAAAATGTGACTTCAAATAATAGTGGGAGTGGGGGGTGGGGTGGGGAAGAGATGTAGAGGTGGACTCCAAGAAGATGGGGGGAGGGAGGTTTGGGCAGCAGAGTTGGACTGGGATGGAAGCCAATGTAAGGTTGAAGAGAGGAAACCATCTGGTGGCTTCCTATTTTAATTAATTATTCTGACTAATTAGGTGCTAAGTTCAGTTGTTTCTACCCTGTTGAAGGAATGTAAGTGCTGTCAGAGACTATTCTAAATTCCAGAGCCTTGGTTAAGACCCTGTGGGATTTTCAGGGGCCAGGGAAAGGAGAAGGTGCAGAGAAATGGTGTTCAGGGAACACCACTATTATTTGGCTGGAGCAGAGAGTATGTGCAAAGGAAACCCTCCAGGGATGGAGCTGATCCAAAGAGAATCAACCATGGACTTCACCAAGTGAATAGAGTGACAGAGAATGGGGTCATAGGTTTCAATCCTTTTGTTTGTTACAGGAACGGTGTGTTCTCAACTCATGTGCCAACATTTAATCCAAGATCCTCCCCATTATCCAAAATGCAGATTAGTTCCTAGTATCTCCCAGGGCTGGGTGTGTGAAGCCCAAGGGTTTTGGCCATGACCAAGATTATAAGTAGACTGTAAAGTATGTGCGCTCTCTTTTGGATACCGCTAGGGACTGGCATGCCACATCCTTGCCATTTGAATGACGGATGGCTTAGGCAGAACTTAGGTGGAAAGCCATCTGGGCTCATCTTTAGCTTGGCGAAAACAGGAACTTAGTTTTACTCCTGACCCCACAGCAGCCTCAGCTGGTTTGAGTTAGCTTGTTAGCCCTTCTGGTGAGCAAACCTTCTTAAAAGGAACCCCCATCTATGCGTGTCCATTTCCAGGGAACATCTTGCCTTCTTGGAATGGGCAGGGGATTCATTCATGACATAGATTTGTTCCTTCCTGTCAATCCTAATTAATAGCCAATAAATATCTATTAAGCACCTACTAAGTGGCACTGTGCTAAGCACTGGGGATACAAAGAAAGATAAAAGACAGTCCCTGTTCCTGACCTCAAAGAGCTCACAGTCTAACAGGGAGACAATATGAAATGAAGGTGTACATGCAACAGGAAATAGGAATTAATCAGCAGAAGGTAGGTATTAGAATTGGGAGGGCCATAGAAGAAAGGGATTTCTCCAGAGGGAAATGCTCCTGTTTCTATTAGTGTTAAGACCATGCCTTACTCATCTCTGAAATCATTTCAGTGCCTCACACAGAGTGGGGGCTTGCTAAATTGTCAAATGAGATTTAATTCTTTTT